TCCGTAATGATCATCCGCCAATAATACTAGCCACTGCGGGGCTGCTGAACGGGGCTGAAGAGTGAGGCCTAGGACAGAACGAGACGATTAAGTCATTTAACCGATTAGGAGGCACTCATTCGCAAATGATAAAAATTGTAATTAGGGGTAGTCTTTGTGTACGTTGACGTGAGAGCCTTTTTCAGGTTTGTCGACGGTGCTGATAATAGACTACCTGTTGGGATGGCTGCCGATTGACGAGCATTTATTTTATAATGCAATGTAGTTTAAAGTAGCAGTTTTAGTTAACACAATTCGTAACATGAACTGTTTCATTGGTGATTTAGTTATCTGAAATTAGAAATGTGTTTATGATGCCAGGTAGGTTTATCCGCATTCATATTTAACACCTTTGGGATACTGCATATAATGTACTTGTAAACTTATGAAAAGTTAACAAACATTCTTATTTGCTTTCCATAAAGAAGCATAAGCTAGGTATATTTGCATGTTTTAAGTATTGTACAGCAAAATCAAAAGTCATTTGGGGCAGGATATGAGGCTGTATTTTGAGGAAGTGCATTTTAAGCATCATAGTGTGTCAAAAGGTCTACGAATGGACCGTACCTTTCTCATTGATTTTCAGTGCCCTAAGAGATTCAAGGATATTTTACATAAACGTGGATTAACCTATGCTTCATGTCAATATAAGCAAACAGACGAGTCCCTGGAAGCGCTTCAAAAGAAAAGAAGGGCTCGGTAGAACAAAAGTTGTCTTGGTCTGACTTTATTGGATTCTCATTTGAACCCGTCATCTGAGACGAACGCGTGATAGATGCACAGTGTTCGCAGTATTTACAGTCAGCAGTGACCAGGCGACCAGGGAGTACTTCTTAAAAATGCTTATTTGGTAGTGAACTACACGCCATTCAAGTGTTATCGTTGTATATTTTAGCCTTATACAACTTTCTAAACGCCTCAATAATGGAGAATTTATGTGCATCCAGAGTTTTCGGGATAACAGCTGCGCACTTTCCACATAAAATGTTCACAAAATTCTTTCTTGTACTGGTGTGGTAGCAAGTAACGCCTTCGTTAAATTTTATACTTAAGAAAGGGTATATTTTGGTTTGCAAAACATATTAATGCTGATATTTTTTACGAATGTAAAATGATCAATCATAATGTTTCATATCCATATTTTATAAAGTTAGCCTATAATCTATGCAGCCTGACACGAATCTGTCAAAAACGTTTTTAGGACTTTGCGACCTTCTCCTCACAGCGTAGAGGAATGCGTACACTTTTTCAGACAAAGTGTCTACATCAAGCAGCTTGGAAAACGTGAATTAAAGTGTAGCAGCCGGGAGGTTTCAAAATTGAAAGCAAGCAAAAACAGCAAAATTTACTGATATCAACAAATTTCGAGACAGCTCATCAGCTGCTACTTGTCGCTGCATAAGTAAGATAACGAGGGCACATAGAGTAGTAGTGAATTTCACAGAATTAATGGCAACGGCAAGGAACGTGGGTCAGCTTAAAAATAATCGATAAAGAACAGGACGTTAAGTTAACAAATGGGTAGTAATGTGTGAGAGAAGTTAACGAAAAACACTTGGGAACTAAATTATATGACCAGGGAAAAATACTTCAGGTTTCAAAATCTGTCGGCAATTTAGACACTTTGTGAAAATCACAAGGTACCCTTTCCTTAAATATGACGTTAAGGAAGGTGTAATTTGCTACCAAAGTAGTACGTAAATAACCTTTTCGTGCACATTCTCTATAACAGCCATTTACATTTCTAAAGAGAATGAAAATCAATTAATTAAATAAATACCACACAAATAGCCCATTTTTTACGGAAACTCTTTTTTATAAGCGGTCAGAAAAAAGCTCCCGGCGTGATTGAAATAACCTGAGATTAGGCGGCAAAAAAATCAGTATTTAAACACAACTGTTTACGAGTGATTATCAATATTTTACAAATTTAAGCATTTTGTATGAAATATGTCTATTGGTTCTTTTTTCTGCCATGCCTTTAAACATAAAAACAGCCTCGGAAAAGAATTTCAAGTTTTTGCGACTTTCTTACATGAGCGGTCGTTCAGTGTTATCTGCAGAAAGAGGGCTTTTTTGGCCTTTTCTATCAGCGAGTCCACCGTGGGCGCTTCGGAGGTAGGGCTGTTGAGTTCACTGTTCGATGTGCCGAAGGGCATATGCGAACATTCCATGGTCGCCGTAGGGCTGCTTACAGTTGTGACCCTGAAGGTCGTTGACGAATTGCCACCGCCACCGCCACCACCGCCAGGAGTCGAATTGTGCTCTATGACATCTCCATTGAAACTCCCACTGGCGCCCGTGTTGTTGCTGAAGACGGCAACTAACATCTCGTGGATAATGTCTTCCAATGAGGAGGCCTGCAGGTCCAGCAAAAGAGTGGCCTCTTTGATAAACAACTTAATGTCCATGTTTGCGCGGATTTCAGACGAAAAGTCCTTCAGTGGAAGTTTCTGCAACATAAGCAAAAGAAAAGCAGCTAACTGCGGTTTAGCAGGACAACCTGGGATACGGGACGCTTAAAAAGACATTTGAAACAAAAGGAAGGTTGTATGTATCGCTACGCAATATATATGGTGGCTGAAGCAGATGTGGGCTAAAAGTGTACATGTTAATACTTCAAAAAATGTGTGGTCCCGACATTTTAGAAGAAGATTTGTGCCGTATACATATAGGTGGTGGATGTATAGCGTGCCATATAGCGGCCTTATCATCTCGAAGATACCTGCCTACTTAAACTCCAATCTTCCTCGACAAGTTCTGTTCTAAAACTCCCACTACTACACACTTAGGACCCAATGAAAAAAATAGAGTTAAAACAGGGTGTCGTAAAAGTGTCTACACACGTTAAATGATTGTTAAATTGGTTTTCATTAATTTTATAAGTTAAGTAATTTGAAGACACTTAAAAGTATCATTTTATTGATTTTTCACTGCATGTACTCAAACTGACGTTCATTTTGATCCAGACACTGTCGAAAATGCGAAGCAATGGAATCGCACGCAGCATGAAATAGTTCCCTTGCTTTTGGGGCGCATTCATTTTAA